GCGAAAACCCAGCCCCACTCCCAGTCCCGACGCCCACCCCCGAGCCCGCGATCTGGGGGGTCGGGACTGGGGGTGGGAGTGGTCTTCTCTACTCCTGGACCCCGGAAACCCACCCCCACCCCCAGTCCCGACCCCCCGGACCAAAGGTTCGGAAATGGGGTCGGGACTGGGGGTGGGGTCGGGTTTTCGCCTTCTCGCCCAGGCTGGGCGGGAGGTCCCGCAGCCTCCGACCCGTCCCCGCCCGCCAGGCTTAAGTCGGGCCTGTCCCCCTACAGGGGGGTTTTCGACGAAAAATACAAAATACACCAAACATAATCAAAAGATAATCCACAAATAGTCTGGGGTCTGTGGTTTGAGCATTTTTGGACTATTTTTTGAAGTATTTTTGGAGTATTTCTTTTTGTCGGCGAAAATCACCCTGGGGGGACAGGCCCGACTTCTTAAAGCCGGGCCGAGGTGCGCCCCAGGAGCGCCCCGGAGGCCCGCGCTCCTCCCCCGCGAGCCCGCGCTCGCGCACGCGCCGCGGGGCCCGGCGCCCGCGCCCCCCCTCTGCCACGGGGTAGCCTTGTTTGGCGGCGCGCAGAGGGGGATACACTCGGGGCCTTGCCCTAAGGAACCCTAAGTAAGGAACGAGGCACCTTTTTTTCCACAAGTTAAACTTCGATTGCAGATCGAAAACCTGAGGAAAACCTAAGGCAAACTGCGAAAAACATTAAGGAACGCGGAGCCCCTCCCCAACGAAAAGGGTTCCTTCTTCAGGGCCCCGACTGTAGGGGGAGGGAGGAAGGCTTCTTAGAAGGAGGCTGCTTCTTAGAAGCCGCGGACCTTGCATTTACAGACAAGGCCCGCGCCTTCTGAGAAGCAGGGGTGCTTCTGAGAAGCCTTCCCCCCTCGCCCTGCCCCCCTCTGCGCGCCGCCAGCTTATATGGAGCGTGTCCCCCTACAGGGGGATTTTCAACGAACCAGAAAAAAGTATTCAAAAATGTCCCCAAAAGGCCAAAACATACCCAAAAAATAATTAGACCCCAGACTATGTGTGGACTATCTTTTGACTACGCTTGGGGTGCTGTTTAGCTTTCGTCGAAAATCCCCCCTGTAGGGGGACAGGCCCAACTTCAGGGTAGCGCCCCGCCCCCGGTCCACGCGCGCGGCGCGGCGCGGGCAGGGCGCCCTCCAGCGAGCGCACCTCGACGACTAACCCTGGAATTCGAAGACCAGTCTGTGAAGCCAGGAGCCACTCTTCTGCATTCAAACACTGGCCTTTTGAGGCAAGAAGCCAGTCTTTCAAGTCAAAAGCTTCTTTTTGTTCCTCCTCTCCTCTCCTCCCTCTCCTCTGCTCCTCTTTGCTTCCTCCTCCGCATCATCATCACCATCACCATCACTCCCCATTCATCATCATCACGTCTTTCAAGTCAAAAGCTTCTTTTTGTTTTGAAGACGAAAATACCAGTTCTTTGGATTCAAAAACTGGCTGTTCGAATTCAAAAAACCAATGTTCCTGAATCCCAGAACCAGTTTTTGAATTGAGAAACTGATGTCTGAAACTCAGAAGCCAATCTCACCCTGAGACCCGACCCTGCGAGCAAACTGCAACACCGCGAAGAGTCACGACCGGAGCCCTCTGTATAGCCCACCCTCCTGCTGCAGCTCTCGAGCCGGATCGGCCCGCCGTGGCCCCCGCGCACGAGGACGGGGCGCAAACGCCCGGCGTCAAGAAGCACATGCGGCGACCCGATCCCTGGGAACGATCTCCAGGCCAGGGCACCGCCGAAACAGAACACTCAAAGCCACCAGCGAGGGCCGTCCGCCAGCGCGGCGTCGCTGCTGCGATCGGACGGGAAGGTCGCGCGGCCACGCTGCGTGGCTGCAGATGCGAGGCGCGGCCCTCCGAACGAGTGAAGTCGCTGGCGGATGCCGGGGCACGCTGTGCTGCGGTGCGTTGGCCGCATAGCCACGCCTATGGCTGGCACACTCGGGGACAAGCCACGACGACGGCCCATGTTCGGCCTCTGGAGGCCCTCTCCTGGCCCTGGGAACGTCAAAAAACGGCTCGGAAGGAAAGAGGTAGAGCGAAAACGAGGAACAGCAGAAGGAGGAGGAGGAGGAGGAGGCAGAGAATCTGAGAAGAACGACGGGAGGGGAACCGAGCAGGATGCGGCTTCACCACGCGACGCCGAGGAGTGACCCGCTGCCTTTTTCATGGGCAAGCACGACAAGGCCAAGGGAGGCGCCGCCAAGGGCAAGAAGGGCAAGGGGCAGGGCAAAAACCAGGGTGGAGGCAAATCGTCCAGCAGCCCTGCGGCTGGGAGTGTGAACTACAGTTGGTGCTGCGGAGTTTGTCAAGCCCAGGTATCTTTGAACCATGAGTGGTGCTGGCAGTGCGGCGGCCACTGGAACAGCCAGCCAGCCACTGTGCCGCCCCCCACAGGCGCAGGTGGCGTGGGAGGCAAGGGCTCTTCGAGCTCATCGCCCCAGGTTGGCCCTGCCATCCAGGCAGTCCAGCAGGCACTGACCGCGCTTGAGAAGCGTGCTGGTGCTGATGGTGGCAGCCCCGAACAACTTCAGCATTGCGATCATCTTCGAGATTTGCTTG